CAGTCCCTTTTATAAAGGATATTTTAAATTAAAGGGAAAAGATTTGAATAATGTAAACGAATCTGGCTCAGAAAGAAAACTGAACAACATATCCAAGATCTGTTCATAAAAGTGATGACAGTACATCTTTAATATTAAAGAAGTAAGCTATAAAAAAGTTCAGTCTCAGAACTGGTTTTTAAAAACTCATTTGTGTTCCTTTGTTCCATGGGTTTATTTACTTTCCAGTATTTCTTTCTTTCTTTGTTTTTTGTAGAGACAGAGTCTCACTTTATCGCCCTCGGTAGAGTGCCATGGTGTCACACAGTTCACAGCAAGCTCCCAACTCCTGAGCTTAGGCGATTCCCTTGCCTCAGCCTCCCAAGTAGCTGGGACTCCAGGCGCCCGCCACAATGCCTGGCTATTTTCTTGTTGCAATTTGGCCAGGGCCAAACCTGCGACCCTCGGTATATGGGGCCTGCGCCCTACTCAGTGAGCCACAGGCGCTGCCCTACTTTCCAGTATTTCTTACTGACCAATACAGCCACTGGTTTGATTTGCCTTTGTTTCAAAGTCCTTTTAAAGCTAACCTCACAGCCAGATACTTGGACAAGTGATCAACAGTGCTGTTACCTGGTATCTTGCCTGTGCACCATCATCTTTTTCCGTGTGGGATGAGGCCTGAACACTAATTCATTTTCACTAGCACCATCCATGGTGGATCAATTGCCGCTGTTGTGTTGTTCTTATCAAGCTCAAGCCAGAATCATTAGATGTTTTGGTCCATTTATTACGAGGGCCTGCTTTCTGATTGCTCTGTGTGATACCTTACTACAGTGTGAAGTGTTGCCTTTATCTTCCGCTGCACTACCATTTTCAGTCTGTTGTTTCCTGCCTTGCTGTAATGCTCTTGGCTTGCGTTTCCAGTCCTTCCTCAATGCTGTGATAGTGCTTGCTGATTCTGTGTATGTTGATGCTGGCTAATACTCTCTCTTATGAGCTTCATACTCATCTTGACTTGGATAAATTTTGCTGATCAATGCATCAAAGTTTGGGTCTAGCCTTAGCGATCTTTTGGAAACTAGTTTTTTTTTTTTTTTTCTATCACATAGGACATTCTTTGTTGTTACTTCTAAGGGCTGTGGTGATACAGTCTGCACAAAAACGACTTAAGCACTCCTTTGTAGTCATGGTATTCTTCAATATATCCAAACAAATTGGGCACATTAATTCACTGTGTAGACTTAAAGGTAAAAGCCATCTGTTATTGCCTCCTGAGGTGTTCATTGTAATTCATATAAACTAAGTTCTCATGTTTTGCTTAATGGTTGAGTTCCATTCCATTCCATTTGTCTGCACAGCTTGAGACATCATAGTTCCTGCCCCAGCTCAGGGCTCTGTTGGCCTTGGCTGGAGCAAGACTCAGATATCAGCTGCTGTGGTTGCCTATGCTGACACACACACACACACACAC